ATTAGAAAGGAAAAAAAACAGTGTTAGGGATTACGGTGTAATTCATTGGCAGAACATGCGCCAAGCATGTTCAAGGTCCTGGTTCAACTTCTAATATCAAACACATAAATAAGCAGAGCCTGGTGGCACATGCCTATAATCCCAGCACTTGAGAGGCTGAGGCAGGAGAATTGCCAGGAGTATAATACCAAACTGGGCTACATAGTGAATTCAAGGTCACCCTAAATAACATAGAGTGACACTGTGTCAAAACCAACAACAACAACAACAACAAAAAAACCCACCAAGTTCTTGGTAACTTGTTATATAGCAGTAGAAAACTAATAAAAATATCAAATTCTTAGGAATAAGTCTATAAAAGATGAAAGACATCTAGACAACAAAACGAGAGATGGGAATTCTGAATATCCAGATGTGAAGATAGTACACAGTCATAAAATAAAAGTAACCCCACGCAATTGTCAGCTTTGAAATCAACCCATAGATCCCTTGCATCACTGATTTTAAAAAAAGATTTCTTAGAATTTGGTAACTGTAAAAGTTGTATTAAATTCTAAACAGGTATTTCTAAACTGTGGATTAAAATTTGAGAGTAAACAGTTAAACATAATCATGAGATCAGCTGTTTTCTATCCTGAGGTAGAAGAAATCCCCTAATGGTTTCTTTTTTTTTTTTTTTTTTTTTTTTTGTCTTTTTCCTTTTTACCGGTACCAGGGATCGAACTCAGGACTGCCTGCTTGCAAGGCAGGCGCTTATGCCGCTGAGCTAAATCCCCAGCCCCTGCCCTAGTGGTTTCTGAAAATAGAGCCTGACAGCTGTACCTTCATCTTGTTTGGAAGCAGCAATTTAAAGATACTTTTTCTGGTTTTTGGATTTGCAGTGTGTACATAAACCTTCCAAGGAATGTCAATAAAGAAATACTCATGTGTAATCTTAAAGTAAATCACCATGTAGATGGAACAGGAATTTCTCTCTCACATCTCTAAGGCTTCCAATCAGGTAGAAAACACATTTGTGAATAAGCAGTTATTTTGTGCCTTTGGATAGCTACAGTAAGTAAAGTAGTCATAATAGAGATAAAAACTAATGTTCTTTCTCTAGGCAAAATAGGCCTATTATTTGCAACTTTCTTATAAACACATTATGCACAAATGTGGCAATCTGCCTGCAGAATTATCAGTGTACAGGTCATGTCAATGGCTATGTTCAACTTTTTAAAAAGTGCAATTTCTTTTCTCCTTTTTGTGTATACATCCAAAAGTTTTAATTTCAAATTCTATCTAGTGATTGCTGTTGTTCCTGAACAATTCCATTTAAAGTATTAGTAGGACATGCTATTAATCAAAGGCAGCCAGCTATCTGGTGAGATTAACCATTAAACCCATCATTTTAATAAAAAAAATAAAGGACTTCCCCTCAGAACTGAGTAGTACACTACATTCAGTCATTTAAGAATTATTTCAGAAGGTCATGTTCTAAGTATAAAGAAATGCAATGCTTCACTGCTTCTACTTCTGAAATGTTTTTTTAAAGAGCAGAATTTATTTATTGAGAGAAAGAAAGCTTCTGTCTGAAGAGAGACAGAAGGGGTCCCAAGCAGGTTGCCCCTACTTCTGCAATGTTTGCAAGTATTTTACACACAAAAGTTACTCTTGTCATGAAATGTCAAATTTATGTAATTATTTTAATGATTAATTTTACCAAGGAATGGCTGGGTCAATCTAGTTTTAAATATCAGAAATTGTTGTATGCCAAGTTATTATTTTTCTTAAAGCACATGCAAGCATAATCATCATAACATTGAAGGAGAAGACATTTGCCTACTATTTCAGAAACAGAGTTATTTTGTTTTGTTTTTAAGGGCATAACACTGGGTTACAACAACCCGTCCCATATTTTTCTACTGTAAATTTATACTTCAGCATAATAGTACCTGGCTGTGTGTTCCAGTAGCTGTGCCTGGGGCAAACAGGATGTGTGTAAAAGTGTCAAGCTGGAATTTTTACCCACATAATGCTCCGACTAACAGGTTTACGTATGTTCACGACACCACTCTTTGGTGGATGTGACTCACAGTAGCTAAGCCCGGAGAAAGCAAAACACCCATCTGTGTATTCACCCACTTGACAGAAGAACAGCAAAGTGTGTACAAGAGTTCCAAAGCAGCAACAGGTGAGTTTTACTCAGGAAATGCTCACTGCTAAATTTCTGTGTATTTATGATTGGTTTTTTAAAAAGTTTTCTTTTGATTTTTCTAATAGAAGTCACCCAATTCTGTACAATGGCACATGAAAAACCAGATTTGCAAGTTGTGGAGGAGGTTGAAAGTGAATCATCAGATCTTTCATGCATAGATGATGAAGATGATAATGATTTTGATGTTGGCCATGCAAACCAAAGTTCCTGTGACAGTGAAATGGAACAAGAATTGACTGATACAGACACAGGGAATGCAGACCTCCTTGATTCAGATGAAGAAGAAAATAGCAACGTGAGTACATATTTGATTAGTAGAAATGGCACAAAATGGTCATGCAACCAAATGGAACAATCTAATGTTAGAACTAGATCTGCAAATATAGTGAGGATCTCAGCAGGGGTGAAACCTATTGGACAGAATGCCAGCACTGCCATTCAATGTTGGAAATTGTTTATAACAGATGAAATGCTCCAAGATGTTGTGAAATACACAAATGCTGAAATACAAGTAAAACGTTCTGTGTGTACCAATAACCATACTCAAAAATGTATTTATTATGACACCTCACTAACTGAATTGAAAGCATTCATAGGTCTGCTGTACTTAGCAGGGCTTTCTCATGGAAGTCGCAAGAATGTAAAAGACTTATGGAAAAGCGATGGGTGTGGGCTTGAAGTTTGTAGAATGACAATGACACTGAGAAGATTTGGTTTCCTTCAAAATTGCCTGCGGTTTGATGACAAAACAACTCGCCAAGAAAGAAAAAGAAGTGATAATCTGGCAGTTATACGTGCATGGTTTGAGAGATTTGTAGGTAATTGCCAAGCAATTTATACACCATCTGAATACATGACTATTGATGAATATCTTGCAGCATTTCATGGTCGCTGTAACTTCAGGCAGTATATTCCAAAAAAACCTTCAAAATATGGCATAAAAATTTATGCCCTTGTGGATGCAAAGACTTATTATACTTTCAATTTAGAAATTTATCCTGGAACTCAGCCAGCAGGTCCTTATTCCTATAGTAATAAACCAAATGATGTTGTGAACAGACTTGTTGCTCCCATATCCCAAACTGATCGGAATGTGACATTCAACAATTGGTTTACCAGTTTCCAATTGATGTTACATTTGCTAACAGAGCACAAGTTGACCAGTGTAGGAATTATACACAGGAGCAAAGCAGAAATTCCAAATGAAATGTTGCAGTTCCAAAACAGGGAATTGTATAGTACAATCTTTGGATTTCGGAAAGATATAACATTGGCCTCATATATGGCAAAGAAAAACAAACTGATACTGCTGATGTCAACATTGCACTATGGTGGAAATATTGATAGGGAAACCTCAACAAAACAGAAGCCTGAGATGATAACTTTCTACAACAAAACTAAAGGTGGAGTAGACGTTGTTGATGAGCTATGCAGCAACTATGATGTTACTCGAAACACAAAGCGTTGGCCAATGGTTGTGTTTTACTGGATCCTAAACATGTGTGGCATAAATAGTTTCATAGTTTACAAAGAAAATAACAAGTACAACATATCACGGAGAAATTTTCTTAGAAGATTGGGACTGGAGCTCATAAGAGATCATTTACAGGAAAGGAAAAACAAAATGTTTCTGCCCAGGGAATTACGCAAAAAAATTGTGGAGCACACTGGTGAGCTGACAAGTGAACAGGCAGGTGCAGCATCACAGAAACCTACTATAACAGGAAAGCGAAAAAGATGTCAACTGTGCCCTACAGAAAAGGACAGGAAAACAAAACATACATGTTACCAGTGTATGCGATACTTATGTATGGAACACACAGTTTTTATGTGTGAAGACTGCCTTGAATGTGATAGTTAAAGCAGTGTTTATTTTTGTGGTGGATTTTTGTTTGTATTTACATTGTAGTTCACGTAGGTTTTTATTTCTGATGTTATTTTTTAGGTTTTGTAAGCAAGTAAACAGCAGATATGAAAATGTTGATGGCCATGTGCTATGTCTATCCTTGGTTTTGACTGACAGCTTTGTTTTGCCATATTTGACTTTATTCTCTCCCCCCAAAAAAGTAATAAGAACTAAGGAGTAATAAAACCCAGAATGTGTAAATTTTGTTGTTAAAAAGAGAGGGAAAAAAAGAGCTCTAAAGGATACAACAGCAAGTGTGTTTAGGGGTGTTAAATAGCTGACCATATTAATGTTTTTGGTTGGATCATTGAACACAACTGTTTGCAGTCTCACTGTTTGAATGCCCACTTTGTATGCTTTGCTACTGTGATTTGAGCAACTATCTCTAAGATGATAATATGTAATCTATTAACTGGTGATTTCTTTTTTTTTTTTTTTTGTAGTTCTGTATTACTTGTACCCTTACACCGCTTTGTTTTGTTTTTCTCTTTTTCCTTTTAAATAAAATTTTAAAAAAAAGTTGATGTCTAAGTTAAGCACTCATTACATATCTGAAATTTTATTATTGATATATTTTTCAGCTAACTACATATTGTACAATATTAGCAGGAAGCTCCTGACAAAACAGGAAGATAAAGAGATAAGAATGGCCTGCCACCTAGGAAAGGAAAGCTAAGCTCATGTGCTGTCAGGATGAGATGTGTCTATGGAGCATGCAGTTGTTATGTGTGAAGACAGCCGAGGGTGTGGTTATTGAAGCAAAGATTATTTTTGTTGCAATATTCTATAAATGTTTTCATTATAGGTCATACAGGAATTTATTTCTGATATTGTCTTTTAGGTTTTGTAAGCAACTACACTGCTGATGTGAAAATACTCATGTTTATTCTAAATACTCAGTACATATTAAGGATTTAATATTTTATTTTAGTAATGTTACTGTTAACTACACATTGTATATATAAGAACCTCCTGACAAAACAGCAAGACCGGCAAAATGTCAATTATATCCTACAAAAAGGCCAGGAAAGGATAATAGTAGCTGTCAGAGAAAGCACACATGATGGACCCTGTGAAGCCTGCCTTAGGTATGATGATTTAAGTATAGATTACATTTTGCAGAGTTCTATTGGTATCTTCATTGTGATTCATATAAGAATTTATTTTTAGACTGCACCAAACAAGTCAATATATAAACTCTTGATGCTTTTTTCAGAAATACTTAAAAAATCATTTTGATGTTTTTCCTAGTACTTGTTTAATAAAACTCATAAAATTAAAATAATTCATCAATAGAAATAAATATAAGGTAGGAATTATACATTCACAATAACGCGCCTTTATGACACAATTGCTGTTATGCTCCACTGGCTTTGCGACAACCCTGCAGCCAGGAGGAGGTCCGCTAACCGCTTTGAGGCCTAGGGGCCTGGCGCACTGCGAACCCAACTCTTGGGCGGTAGCCTCGGGCAGAGATGGGCCCACAAACTTGGAGGGACCGCAGGATTCCGGCGAGGCCGCCTCCCCCGCCCCTCCTCAAGTCCCAGCGCTATCGGACGCGTCTCTCGTTGCCCGGACTCGATACCAGGCTGTCGCCTCCGCCGCTGCATGGAGCAGGGTGGAGTCCCGCCCCTCCATATGATTGACAGGCAGTTGCATCCAATGGCAGACGCTGTCGGCCCCGGCGGGCTGGGCAAGGGCCGCGGCTCGCGGAGGAATCTCTCTTGCCCTTTAGTCCCAGACAAGGTGTTGCGGCCGGCGCCATTTTCTCGAGCCGCCTTGTCTCGGGTGCCGCCATGTTGGTGAGGAGAAATCACCGTTACGGCTACTGTCCAAATCCCCGCGTCGCCGCCCGCCGCCCGCCCGCCCGCTCCCACGCCTCAGCCACCGGCGGCGAATAGAGACTAAAGCGGCAGCGCCGGGCCGTTGCCCAGTGTTTGCAGTTAGAGCCCCATCTCTCTGGCGTGGTTGTTAATAGACTGGAAAGTCTGTGTCTGTGTCGCTCACTAGTAACCGTGAGTTTTTACCACCTCGTCACCTGCCGGCGGCGGCCGGGAGCAGGAGCCCGCAGGCGGCGCAGGGGGCCTCCTCCCCGCGCCCCGCCGCCGCCAGCGCCGCCGCCGCGGGCTCCAGACCTGCCCTCCAGCCCCGCCCCGTTCTTGACCAAACATGACAGACTCTGAACATGCAGGGCACGACAGGTCGGGACGCCTTCTTGTCTGTCTTTCTGTCGGATGAGAGGAGGGGTCGGGGCGGCGGGAGCGGGCCGGGGCCGGGCGCCTCCTGCATGACTTAGACGTCTCTGTGTGGCTCCATCACTTCCATGACGCGCGCCCTTCCGGGAGCTCGGGCTGCGGCTGCGGCCGCGGGCGGGCGGGCGGCGGGGGGCGGGGGAGCCGGCCCGGCCGCGCCCGCCTCCCCGAGCCGGGGTCCGCTCGCCGGCGCCGCCCCGCCTCCCTCTACCCGCCGCCGGGCACGCGCGAGCCCCCCGCCCCGGGCCGGCCGGCCGCGAGTGCGAGTGCGGGCCGGGCCCGGGGAGGAGCGGCCGGAGCCCGGTGCGGGCGCGTGCGCCCCTGACTCCTCCCCGGACTCCGCTAAAAATAAACGCGCGGGGGCTCAGGGAAAGCCCGAAGCCCGCGCTCCCCGCGCGGGCCATACCTTAGCCACAGTCTTGTCCCCTTTGCAATGGAGAACGGCCAATATCAAGTTCAGTATACGAACCCTCCGCCCCCAAAGACGTAAGACTTTGGAGCCCTTAGCCCATAGCACAGTTGTCGCCTAAAGTAGAAACTCCGTGGATGGTGCAACCGAGCCCGGTTTCCAAGCTGCTCTAGCTCCCTGGAACACTTAACCACTTAACTGAGATTTCTGATTTTTTTTTTTTTTCACTTTTATGCCTGAAGAGGCAGTTTTGATCCCATTTAACAGTTGGGGGTGGAGGAAGGGTGTTTTATAAAGTATACTTTAGTTTTGGGTAATTTCAAGTTCACATTATCTATTTTTTAAAAGGGAGGGGTTTCATTCATTAAAATTACTGGAACAAAAGCCCTTGCATCTGATTCTTATTTAGATAATTGATTGGAAATTTGGACCTTCATAATTAAGAGTTTGTGAATAGAAGTATACATTGTATTCTAATTAGATTATGTAAGAATTTTTAAAGTTTTTACCTTGGGAGTAAAGTGGAATATTTTTGATAAAGCATGACAAACACTGTTTGTTTTTTAAATTGAGAAGCAAAGATCACAAACCATTGAAATTTTGAAATAGCTAAATATCTGGCAATCTTGAAAGGGGTAAAAATGTGAAGCAACTTTTATACTGTAGTAACAAAAGTAGATCCCCAAAAAGTAATCCAAATAAATGTAGCAAAATTTAAAAAGGAAAATGCACTCCAAAATTCTGGTGTGGGAGCTTGCCCTGGACACGTTTCTTTTACTTTTTTTTTTTTTTTTTTTAAGGCATACTAATGGGACATGGCCTCATACAATGGAAAAGACCATTGAACTACCTCCTAGTCCCTGATATTTTTAGCATCTTTTTTCCGCACCTCTACAGTGCTGGAGATCAAACTCAGGGCCTAAGTGCTAGGCAAGCACTCTTCTACTGGTGAGCTTATACCCTCTCCCCTTGTTACTTTTTAATAATTATTATTAAAAAGAAAATTTTTGGAATGGGTTAACTATACTTTGAGGAACTTTCTAAGAATATCTGTGGACAAGCCAATAATGGTAAAATTTTTTTTTTTTTTTTTTTTATCGGTACCGGGGATCAGGCACTTACCCTGTTGAGCTAAAGCCCCACTTCAATAATGGAAATTTTGCTAATGCAGCCTAATATTCATTTTTTTAAATATGGAAAAAGGAATTTTGTTCTCATGTGTTAGTGGATAAAGTAATAGAAATAGGTAGAATTGTGTAGTCTACATAATGAAGAAACCATGTCATCAAGTGTAGGGGTCAGAGTAGTTAGTGGAACTGTGAAACGAGACTCAGAATTTTAAAGTGAACACTTTAAAGACCTTTTGTAAGGTATATGTAACAACTTGAGCATCCAAAGTAGAGATTAAGCACTAGTATTGCTTTGTCTATTTTTGTTTTTAAATGACCAAGAAAATATTTTCTAGTTAGCTGTGTTTTAATTTAGCCAACTAAGTGGCAGTATTTTTCTGGGACAAAAAGAGTTTATTCTGTGGTACTCAAGACTGAATCCAGGGCCTTCACTGAACTACATCCTCAGCTCTTAAAATTTTCTTTGAGACAGAATCTCCCCAGGCTAATTTGCCCAGGCTGACCTGGAATTTGTAATCCTCCTGCCTCAGTCTCCTGGAGTGTGGGATTACAGCATGTGTTGCCATCACACTGACTGGAGAGGGATTCTTTTTGCCCCCAACCCCCACCCCAGAAACTCTCAAAATGAAAGTACAACATCAAGACAGTAAATTAGGAGTCAGGAGAAATGGTTCTACTTTCAGCTTTGCAACTGCTTAGCTTTGAGAATTTAAGGAAGCTTAGATAATAGAAAGGTTCTGCAAAAAATTTTCAAGTTTCTTCAATATCAGTGGTTCTCAACTGTCTCTGGGGAGTTTTTAAAAAGTACTGTACTGGTGTGCTAGGTGTGGTGGCACACACCTGTAATCCCAGCCTTTGGGAGGCTGAGGCAAGAGGATTGTTGTGTGTTTGAGGCTGGCCTGGGCTCCACGGTTGAGTTCAAGGCCAGCCTGAAGTACAAAGTGGGACCCTGTCTTAAAAATAAATAAATGAATGAATGAAAGTACTGGTGCTGTTTCCTTCGATCTGGACCTCACCCCAGGTTTTAAGGTTTTTAAGTGTCCCAGGTAATTCTAATATGTGCCCAACTGAGGACCACTGTACAGACGATCATTGTTTCCCATTCCTAGCTAATCAGACTGACTTTGATATAGAATAAAGGTTTTCATACTGCCCACAGCAATTGAATCAGAATCTTTAGGGTAACTTGTGATAATTATATTTTTAATAGGCATCTAGATGATTCTTAAATAATTCTGGGGAAAAAAGACTAATCTGTGAACTCAAATATGCTGTGTTTCAACACGGTATCAGTTTTATACTACAGTGCAAGTTTCTATTAGATGAGGGCTATATAAAATTTGGTATATAGAACTAGGCATTGTCTCAGATTTTTTCTGGTGTTCTTGAAAACTGCACACAGGAAAAAAGTACAGTCTGACATAACTGCTTTGATTTTATGCAAACTAAAGTATTACTATTATAACTTACAGAATGACATTCTAAATGTAAATGCACTCACACAATGCATAGATTTCTCCTTTTAAATTATTTTACATATTTTCTATGGTAAACATGTTGTACAGGATTTCTTTGCCAAATGAGCAACTTTTAAAAAATGTCCATTTCATATACATCCCTTTCAATATTTTAATGCCTGAAGTGAAAACATTGTATTTTTATAACATGTTATTAATATAGCAGTATTTATAAATAAATCTGTAGATATGTAGAGTGCATAAATGTAGCCTAGTATCTAAAGATCTTTATCAAAAAAAATAGAGATGGAGAAATAGGGGGAAATCAAAGGGAGGTATAATCTTTGTCTCTCTTCATTCAGTTCTTTACTTCCTTTTCTCGGATCCAATTCTAGCAGCCTAGCTTTGTGTTTTAGCTGGATGTGGACCCAAGTAAAGCAGTATATAAACAACTCTTTTTTGTTTTGTTTTTGTTTTTTGCAGTGTTGGGGATCCAACCTAGGGCCTCAAGTGTGTTAGGCAAATGCTGTGCCACTCAGCTACACCCCACCTCCACAAACAACCCCTGAAATTTACTGAGTCCCTGCTTTGAACACATTTATAGCAGAGTAGGAAAAGATAAATATAGCTCAACACTATAGAATTTTCTGAACTACATTAGTGGTAAAAAGTTTGAAGGGCCTGTACTGGAGGAAAATTTAAATATTGAAATTATGATAATGATAATTTAAGTGTGAACTAGTATGAAAACGTGAACAATTAAAGATTTGATTCTTTGCTAGGAGGTGTAGGGATAACACTGAGAGGAGGTTATTTGTTGCCTATTAAGAACAATTTACCCACTTTGTTTTCATCTTTAGGCTTTTCTGGTAGAATAGAAGTTGGGTGTGGTCGTGCATGGCTGTAATCCCAGCTGCTCAGAAGGTAGCAGGATCATGAGTTTGAGGTCAGTCTGGATAACCTAGCAAGATTCTGTCTCAGAAAACAGCCTCTAACTAGTTAAAATTGTTAAGGTCCCAATTCTCCATAGTCCTCAAAATGAATTGAAATCTTGCCAAGAGACTGCCCTGCAGAATCTCAGAGGATGAGGGTGAAGGTGATTACATTTTCCATTTGTAGCAGAGCTTCCATTTGACTCTTGCATTAATATTATTTAGAGACTAGGTAATCATAGTGGTATTACAACATTCAGCAATTTATCCAAGATCCCACAAATATAGCCTGAGGAAGTATGCTGGTTCTTTCTTGCAGTGTTGTTTTCACTCTTCATTAAGTTTGCACACGGAAATGATGGGATAAATTCTGGCCTTTAATTCTTGAATAGTTTGGAATTGTAATGTATGTTTGAAAGGGCCACCATTTTTAATAAAATTCAGCTCTGGTCCTGATCTTTCTTCTAACTTGGTTATCACACTTCTTTTTTCATAATTGTTTTGTTTTTTTCTCCTCCTCTCTCTCCTTTTCCTCCTCCCTCAGCCCTTCAGGATTGAACCCAGGACCTTGCACTGGGCTGGGTCCTTTTAAAATTTTGAGACAGGATCTTACTAAAATTGTTAAGTTGCCCAGGCTGGGCTGAAGCTTGCTGCCCTCTTGTCTTACCCTATCAGAGTGCTGGGATTACAGGTGCTGATTATTTTTCTTATTTTCTGAACTACAAAACTATAATTTATTTTCAGTTTCCCTTTTCACTTTAAAAGTTGATATTTAAAAACGACAGATCCTTTTCCTCTAGAGTACACTTGGTGTTCTACACAGTAATTACGTTGCAAATTAATATGATTAGTAGAATTTAATTGCCTTTTCTGATCAGCCATTTAATCTTTTGGTTCCTGAATTAACTGATTTAACTCTTGTTGAAATTATCAAAGAGTTTTCTTTAGCAAAATTAAACAATCAGGTTCAGCGTTGATACTTGAAAGCACTATGATTCATAGGAAAATGTTTTCCTAATCT